TTCTATATTGAATCACATGTCCCTGGAAGTTAATTAGCTCCTGTTCAAAGTCAGCAGGAAGCATCTAACAAATCAATTCACACCTCAATGATGAGTCCTGTGCTTTGCATGAATTGGTTACACTAGGCCTCTCACTACATCAAAACGTCTTCCATTTATTCCAAAGAATGGGTCAGTTTCTCCTTCAGTTGCCTTGTTTGCTGTCCAATAGGCAATCCTTTTGCATAAATCTCAGCATGTCAATAAAACTTCATTTACGAGTGGGTATCCTTCCTTCGTAGTTTCAAAAAACACGTCCTGCTTTGTAAAAAATCATGTTCATTCCTCCAATGGCAAATCTGTGCTTCACTAATATCAAATTAACCCCATTGTTCTGCCTTTCTGAGTATAAAACAACCTTTTCATTATAATACCAAATCATAGTGTAATCTTTTTGAAGGCATCTTTTTTTTTTTCGAGACGGAGTTTCACTCATGTTACCCAGACTGGAGTGCAATGGCGCGACCTCAGCTCACCGCAACCTCCACCTCCTGGGTTCAGGCAATTTTCCTGCCTCAGCCTCCTGAGTAGCTGGGACTACAGGCACGCGCCACCATGCCCAGCTAATTTTTTGTAGTTTTAGTAGAGACGGGGTTTCACCATGTTGACCAGGATGGTCTTGATCTCTTGACCTTGTGATCCACCCGCCTCGGCCTCCCAAAGTGCTGGGATTACAGGCTTGAGCCACCGCGCCTGGCTGAAGGCATCTTAAAAAGCTTTTACATTGAGCATAGGTGGTATCAACAATGCACATTTACTCAACAAAAATGATGACAACGGGAAGAGCATGCCCAATTTGCACATGCACACGCAACGACAATAACGTTACAACTGCTGACAAAACACCAACTTTAAGACACACTCCAATTTCAAAAAATGCACTCAAAATTGATGAAATCCAGTAACTACTTTCCTATGTAAGGTGCTTGGCATAGCATCTGGCCCATAGTAAGTAAGATTATAATAAATGTTAGCCATCAGCAACACACCAATAACAAACATTCCGCAAACAAAGCTCCCTTTAAACAACGCGTTTGGTAGCAAAGCAGGTTAAAGATGTTCTAGTCTTCTCAGAATTGAGTATGCAGGGCAAAGGCGATGCATGGCTACAGAAGGGCACCACCTCAACTGCCACAGGTGGGCAGGGGTTGGGCCTAGAGAAGCAGCAAGCTTATGTCAGTTGGTCACTAGGAAATGAAGAGGTACAACCTAGGCTGGAAGCAGACTGTGACACTCAAGAGGCAGGAGACCCTCCCACACAGGCCAAGAGATTGACAGAGAAGGGAGAAGGTAGTCAGTGTGCATTTACTGAGCACTTACTACATCAGGAGCTCTAATTAGTACTCATTTAGTGCTTACATCAACCCTGCAAAGTAGAAATCATCCTCATTTTACAGAGGAGAAAGAGACTCACTAAAATTCTTACCATCAAGCTCAGGGGTACATTGTAGGTGACAGAACCAGGGTTTGCACCAGTCTTCTCATAGAACTTATTCCCATAATTCTATCAGGCACCATGGCCAAAACATCCAAGTCCCACTAAGTATCTCCCTGCCTCCTACACTGGTAATCAAACGTTGCCTGAAGGACAGACTTCAGAACTCTTTTTGTTTCAGACAGGGTTACAGCTATAAAGGGTATACACTGAGCAGATAAATGCTGTAAGTAAAATTGCCCTGTGGAACATCAAAATCACTTAATATGCTCAATTGCTTCCAAAGCACGCATTGCAGAGAACCGTTATGCTGATTACCAATATTATAATCTACTCATTAAGGAAAGTCTCTAAGGGCTTCTACAAAGGAACACCTCATGGCTGAGTTTAAGTTACTCTGTGTACTTGAAAATAATGAAGCTACCATTCTTTTAAAAATTATCTAATTTAGGCTTTTCACTCATTTATACTGTGCTTCTCTGCAAGGGCTCCAAATGAAGGAGGTTTTGCTATCTTCAAATGGAGCACCTCTCTCAAGGTCCAGAGCGGCATGGCACTGATAGCTGACTTGTCAGCTCTCTGCCAAGCAGGGATAGGAAGAGAGAGGTTCAGCGAAGAATTTGCATCTGAAAGTCTGTCCCTGCTTTTCTTAACATTTCGGTTCCAAAGAACTTGTTTCTCTGGATTCTTGAGATCCATCAGACATTTGTGGAGAGAAGACACTGGAATTTACTGAGAGCTGCCTTAAATCCTTTAGGAATAAAACTAATACAGAAAAAAACAAAGGCATTGATAACTTAATATGGACCAAGTACTCAATGAGGTGAGTGCTTCCCTTCTGCTCTCCCTTCAGCTATTGGAGAGTCCCAGTGCCATTCCTCACCTTTTACTCTATATGTTCTTTCTTTAGTTCATTTCATCCATTCCCATGGTTTTAAATTCTAGCTATATGCTGATGCCTTTTAACATTATAACTCAAGACCTGACTCCTCTCTTGGGCTCCAAATTCATTCATCCCACAACTTAAAGGAACATCCTCATTTGGATATGTAATAGGCATTTCAAAACTAGCACGTCTAAAACACTGATTCTACCACCCGCCCTTCCTCCAGGATTTCTCATAGAGCTTCAATATATATCCATTATTTGAGCCCAAAACTTAGAAATTATTCTCAATTTCTCTTTTTTCCATCCCCCTCTGATCTATCCATCTCCCACATATCCAACTTCACTCTAGGGATGTGCCCTGAGCCGTGTAAACCAATCACAGTAGTCCTATACTCCTTGCTAATGACCAGGACCCTAGGCCAAAATCAGTCTGCATAAAAGGGGTCAGAGTTTAGGAATGTCATGTGTCTGAATTCAAGTCAATGGTACAATGAGGTAAAGATTTTTGGGAACATTTATTTTTGAGGATGTCAGTGAAGAAACATGTAGCCCACATTACCACTATCCACTCTATGCGCATACTCAAAAAGAATCTGCCTTAGGATGAAGCTGATTTTCTGGATGGCAGAAGGAAGAGGAGAAAAGAACATGACTCATAGATGACACGACCGATTACCTGCAGCAAGGGTCCCTGACCCCTGGGCCATAGACTAATACCTCTCCATGGACTGTCAGGAACCAGGCCACACAGCAGGAGGTGAGTGGTGGGCGAGTGAGTGAAGCTTCATCTGTATTTATCGCCGTTCCCATTACTACCTCAGCTCCACCTCCTGTCAGATTAGCGGTGGCATTAGATTCTCATAAAAGCGCAAACCCTATTGTGAACCGCGCATGCAAAGGATCCAGGTAGCATGCTCCTTATGAGAATCTAAGGCCTGATGATCTGTCACTGTTTCCCAACATCCTCAGATGGGACTGTCTAGTTGCAAGAAAACAAGCTCAGAGCTCCCACTGATTCCACATTATGGTGAGTTGTATCATTATTTCATTACATATTGCAGTGTAATAACAGAAACAATTGCACAATAAATGTAATGAGCTTGGATCATTCCAAACCATTCCCCTTGCCCTCATCCCACCCTACCCCACCCACCAATCTATGGAAAAATTGTCTTCCATAAAACCAGTTCCTTGTGCCAAAAATGTTGGGGACTGCTGCTGACCTAGAGCACACAATTCTGAAACTCACTCTACATCTGGATGTCCAATTCTGTGAGACAATAAATTTCCTTATTGTTTAAGCCAGAAATTTTGGATTTTCTGTTTTTGCAGTTGAAAGCTACTTAATAAATCCAAAGAAGGGGAAGCCAGCAAAGGGAACCAAGAAGCAACAATCAGTAAGGCAGGAAGCAAACCATATACTGTCTTAGAAACAAGAGAACGAAGTGTTTCTTGGTATAGAGAAAAATCAACTACATCCAATAATGGGAAGTTGAGTAAACAAAGGACAAGAGGCGACCACCGTATTGGCAACATGGTACCTGGAAAACTGCAGTTTCAGAGGAGTGGTGGAGACAGAACCTTCTCTGGAGTAAGTTGAGGAAATGGGCCACAGGGAAGTGAAATCATTTAATTTTGACTTCTGAGAAGTTTTGCTATGAAGGGCAGCAGAGAAACGAACAGTAACTAAAGGAGAATAAGGGGCAAAGCAGGACTTTTTAAAGACCAAAGATCTTTTAGCAATAGAAATGATTTATCAAGGGATAGATAATGCAAGAGAGGGAAAAATAATTACAGGAACAAAGACCAAATTTTCTTTTGAAAAGCCACAAGGAGACAGGATTCACTGGATAGGCAGAAGGTCTTGCCTTTAGAGAAGCAGGGATTTCGTTTGCTGCAATAGGAGGAAAAGCAGGGAACAAGTGTAGATGCAAGTCATATGATTAACATGGTACAGTTAGGGAGTTCCCACCCGCTTGTTTCTATTTCTGCCAAGAAGTGGTAAGATGACTAGCTGAGATATTGGAGGAGTTTTTTAATGTGTTTTTAATAAACAGGGTGTCGCTCTTGCCCAGGCTGGAGTACAGTGAGGCTCACTGTAACCTTGAATTCCTTGGTTTAAGCAATCCTCCCAGCTTGGCCTTCCAAAGCACTGGGATTACAGGCTTGAGCCACCAAGCCTGGCCTACTGAAGAAGGGGTTTTGAAGGGAGAAGCAAAGGTACCAAACAGCAATTTCAGAGAGTTGGAAAGTAAACAAATAAGGAGAGTCTTAGAAGGTTGAAAGGATTGCTCAGTATTCTTGAGTGCCCATTTTAGGCCTGTGGTCATGAACTTAAAAATAGACATAGGCCGGGCGCGGTGGCTCAAGCCTGTAATCCCAGCACTTTGGGAGGCCGAGGCGGGTGGATCACGAGGTCAAGAGATCGAGACCATCCTGGTTAACATGGTGAAACCCCGTCTCTACTAAAACTACAAAAAAATTAGCTGGGCATGGTGGCGCGTGCCTGTAGTCCCAGCTACTCAGGAGGCTGAGGCAGGAGAATTGCCTGAACCCAGGAGGCGGAGGTTGCGGTGAGCCGAGATCGCGCCAT